GTAAATCTTTGGTGTGGAAACTTGACTGACTGACTGACCTCTTTACATGCAAGATTCGCCAATATCAAGTTTTATGAATTCTTAATAGTTGTTGCAAATATATAGAAACATCTACTTAGTTCGCAATGCTTAGCTTTCAGAATAGTGTTTCATTTAAGTGCTTATATTGTGGGGAAAATTTTATCCTGAGTAATTGGCTATAAAACCAACTATATATATATATACTTACTTGCATGCACATCTACGCAAAGAGTTGATGCTCAACAACATCCTTTGAATTCTCCATTATCTTGTTCCCTATAAAAGGTAGATTCGAAAGAAGATTAGATTTCGGAGACAACTCTTAAAGATTTAAAAAATGACCAACTTGGAGGGAGTCACAAAGAAGATGAAAAAACAAAATTAAAATTTTTCCCAATATCTCGGAGCATGAAATTTTAGGAAAACCAGAAGACATGCATGAAGGGAAAAAACCCGATTGAAATCATTGCCAAAGTTATGCATGGTAAGGCTCTTAACTTATGGCAAACAACACCTGATTGAAACCATTGCCAAAGTTATACATGGTAAGGCCCTTAACTTATGGCAAACAACACCCGATTGAAATCATTGCCAAAGTTATGCATGGTAAGGCTCTTAACTTATGGCAAACAACACCCGATTGAAATCATTACCAAAGTTATGCATGGTAAGGCTCTTAACTTATGGTAAACAACACCCGATTGAACTCATTGCCAAAGTTATACATGGTAAGGAATACTGTAATAAGCAATACAGATAAAATTCCTTTACAAATATATCAAACTAATTAGTTCTAAACAAAAGAACGGAATCAGCTGGTTTAGTTCTGGAGTAAAATGGTAAGGTATTTTAAAACAACACCCTTATAAACCAGAGTATTGCCAGTCATAATTAATGAATGTAGAAGCTCTCCCAAAGGGCTAATGGATATTATATTGACGTTCGAACAAAACTGTGTTGTTTGCCATAAGTTAAGAAGTATTGACTACACACATCTATTTCAGTATACTAATCCGAAGATACTAAACTTATTTATTTATTTTTTAATCTTCAATTTCATCATTTTATCATTCAGTATCGAATGTTTTCTTTCTTTTGATGATCACATTTCTCATCCTTTTCTAGTTACACTTGAAATACATGTACCTAGTTGTCTTACTAATCATTTCAGTTCTTTAGACTACCGCCAGAGGGAGTCGATGTTCTAATGCTCCTCGATTTGACGATCCAGTAAATTCTAGATGATCACATTTCTCATCCTTTTCTAGTTACACTTGAAATACATGTACCTAGTTGTCTAACTAATCATTTCAGTTCTTTAGACTACCACCAGAGGGAGTCGATGTTCTAATGCTCCTCGATTTGACGATCCAGTAAATTCTAGATGGCGTCTGTATTGTTTGTCTGCAACTTTAATGGGTTCTAGTTCCAACTACAGAACTTTTATTAAATTTATTACAAATGGTAAAAACAGCAAAGAAAGAACTGTAAGAAAACGTGTAGTGGGACGCTACCTGTTGGTTGTTTATTTATTACTTTACTATTATGATAAACAACCAACTACAGCGCTTAATAGTCGTGTACTGTTTCAATATTAATACCTGCATTGTGTATTTTCTACTTTACCACAGACTTATATACCACAATAAAATCAATTTAGACCAACACAATATTGTCAGTTACTGTTCCCTTTATAATAAAACCAATTTAGACCAATACAATAGTGTCAGTTATTGTTCCCTTTATAATAAAACCAATTTAGACCAATACAATACTGTCAGTTACTGTTCCCTTTATAATAAAATCAATTTAGACCAATACAATACTGCCAGTTATTGTTCCCTTTATAATAAAATCAATTTAGACCAATACAATATTGTCAGTTATTGTTTCTTTTATAATAAAATCAATTTAGACCAATACAATATTGTCAGTTATTGTTCCTTTTATAATAAAATCAGTTTAGTCCAACACAATATTGTCAGTTATTGTTACCTTTATAATAAAACCAATTTAGACCAATACAATACTGTCAGTTACTGTTCCCTTTATAATAAAATCAATTTAGACCAACACAATATTGTCAGTTATTGTTTCTTTTATAATAAAATCAATTTAGACCAATACAATATTGTCAGTTATTGTTCCTTTTATAATAAAATCAGTTTAGTCCAACACAATATTGTCAGTTATTGTTTCCTTTATAATAAAATCAATTGAGACCAACACAATATTGTCAGTTATT